ATGAATGATAAACTTGAATGGCAGCAGCCTCAGTTCTGTTCTTTGTCTTGGTAGACAGTATAGTTTTTTAACAAATTCTTATTTGGGAGGCTTGGCTAAAGTAATCTTAAGAAAATACTTCATTCAAAGACAGCTCTGCTGTTACTTATTGAGATTCACCAAGGGTGTTGTTCCAAGTTTCTCTGCACATTTACTGATGTGCAAGAAAGATCCATTTTGCCACCTCTTGTGAAGACATTGGTTCTAGAAGAATTAAAAATCTGTTCAAATGACATTATTTCTTAGCCTGCCTTTTCTTTTGCTGCTTTTTCAACTGAGAAGCTGATCAAAAGTCACTCTTTACTACTGCTATGCTTTTGAGAAAGCTCTCTTTTACGGTTTAACGGGAGTTCAATGATAATTCATTGATGCTGAAGGCTTCATTTTCAGCTGAGGTGGCTTATAGAGAAGGTCTCTTTAAAGATGTATCTGTAAGAAAGATGTGGGGAGATTGTGTGCACTTCTTTTCAATAAGTGTGTAAATATCTGGCAGTGAACCTATCGCAGAAATGAAGCTGGTATCAGGTCCTCCAGAGGCGTAGCACATTAATTCAGATACTTGTTCAAATTTTGCTGGCTTTTAATCAGGGCTGAATCTAATCCTTGACATGGGACTCCCACCTGAAAAATTGCTCGTAGGCTGTTCCTTTAGAATCTCAGCAGGGAATATGCACTTTGTAGTATTTCTAGCCATGATTGCTACCAAGAAAATCCACCATCTTTCTAATCACAGCCCTTCTTCAGAAGTCACTTTTGGTAGTAAAAAATGAGAAGGAAAGTATATCAAATCAGATATAGTTTGAATTAAAATAAAACATGAGTTCATACCGACCAGCCATGGACTATCATCACCAGAGGAAGAGAGGCATTGAAACTGCATTTGCCAAGAGTCTCCAACTGATTAAAAAAAATCTCACAGCTTTCTTCAGTTGTATCTCTATAGAGTCGAAATTTGGTTTCTAAGTTTTGCTGATCTTTCTTTGCTCTAGTGTGCTGACTCTGTGATCCCAGTGCCTCTGAAATGAAATTCATAACAAGTCATAATTGGGTTTAATCTAAATCCTGAAGAAGTTAGTATTGAAACATGGTTTATAAAACAAACTAAACTAGCAAGATTGAAACTCTAGCAATGTATAAATATTGCCTACTCTAGGTGGGCCTGAGCTGTACATTTAGGGTAAAAAAAAAAAAGTTATCTCTTTCAAAGTTTGAGATGGTCTACATCTAGGACAGCATTTCATAAATATCTGTTAAGTGCCTAGAATGGTGTCTGTCTATAAGAAAGTAGAGGCAGGGTGAACTGTGGTTTTATCAGCATTATGAGCTTAGAAGAAAAAACATTAATATAGAGAAATTGCTGAATAATGGTATAAAATAAAGCAGGAGCTTAGAAAAAGCTCTTTGTGACATGCAAGCCTGATGCTTCTTTCTAATAAGATTTCAGGCTGTATTAATCTGAAAACTATACAACAAATCATTGCTTAAGCTAGAAAAAGTGGGGGGTTAGTAGAAGAAGAGTGAACATGTGATGACCGAGATAAATGAGGGGTTACAGTTCTTTATGTTGTAAAGGAAAGTTTTAGAGTGGGGAGCTCACTAACAGTTTCTTGGGGACTGTTTTTTGGCTAATTTCATTTTAATATTTTCAGTAAAGAAGCAGGTATGAAGGGTACAAGACTGACAAAATTTAGCATTTGCTACCACTGAGGAGACCAAAATGTTAAACGCTAAGAGTTAGGCGACCTTGAAATACAGCATCAGAAACAGATAGAAATCTGATACTATGAAGTACAAGGTCATACAATTGATAAGAATTTCTCTGTAAATGGGGCTCATAAATTGGAAGTGACACAAGGGTAAAAAGACTTGGCTGTAGTAATCAATAACAAAAATGACTACAAGTCACCACTGTGATTTGGCTGGGAGACAGGAAAATATAATTCCCAGATGCATCAGGAAGAGTTTTTTAGTAGGAAGAGACAATGTCAGTGCCAGTAAGTTAAGGCACTTTAATATTAACCACATACAGAATAGTGTTTGCAGCACTTATTACCAAGTTCATGTGATACCTGAACATCTAAACCAGAGCATGTTAATTTTTGTATTAAATCTGCACATGTATCCTCTGGTTCTATAACATTGTTGTCTTGATAAGATTTTTATAATTTATGAGGTGTTTCTGATACATTTACAGATGGGCCTTTATCCTGCAAGTATATTAGTGATGAGAAGCTCCCATATTATTTGCAGTAGTAGTATCTTCTTATGCTCAGTACAAAGAACCCTAATGTAAGGCATGCTGGTTTTAGATATGCCACATGTCAGCTTTTATTCAAGTTTTTATTTTAGTATAAACAAACCAGCACATTTTATTTGATTAAGTGAATGACAGTTCTGGCAAAAAAACTCCCAAACTAAACTGACTGTGCACTCTTTTCTATTTATCACTAATTACTGTGTATTCCGAGTAACTCCAGGCAATGTTGTGTTTTGTAGCTAGGAAACATTATTGTAGAAAGTTGTTCAGCATTTTATAAGAGCTGGAATTTAAAAGCTTCAAGGTTATTGAAGGTTTGTTATCAAAATGCTTAGCCTCAGTGTCTCACATTTGTCTTTAATGGTACTTTCAATGGTTGACAGCTAACCAGGACTATGTCTGATCATTTCTCTGTTAAAATGTCTACTTAAGAGCATTTCTGGTGTTTTTTTGTTTTATTTTTGCTGGGAAACGACTGTTTCTGAACAAGGTAATATTAGGAGAAAGCAAATCTAGATGAAGAACTGAAAACTGGAAAGGGTTTTAATTATGTTGATATTTTAACCTCCAGTTTATTTAGGCTTTGGTGAGTAGTTTATACACAAAGATTAGCACTGTTCTATTTTTAGCAGAAAAAAAGCAAACCAACTTGTGCTTGTTCCATTGTACACTTCCTTTCTTTGTTTTAAGTCTTGTTTTCATTTTCTTTTTGCTCTCTTGGTGTTTGTGCAATGCAGAGAAGCTTTGTCATGCTCCATGTTGTACATTCTACCAAAAACAAGTTAGTAAATAACTGTTTTATTTATACGTTGACTGTGAAAGTGCTCAGGGTGCTTTAATAGGTGAGCCATTGGTTTGCCAGGAGGTCTGAGAGTGAATTAAAAATATAGCTGAGCCTCTTTGTGGCTATTAGAAGTTCCAATAGAATCTGTTGTGCTGTTAGACAAAGACCTGCTTCAATCTGTTAATCCATGCAGTGACTTGGAGAAGGAATAGAGTCTGAAGAGCTTGACGTCTACAACAGTCTTGCTAAAAATGTCATACCTGTGACTCGGTGACAATCAAGGGGAACTGCAAAGTTTCATAGGTCAGTTTACAAAACCAACAAAATAAACCTGCTAAAATTTTTCCCATTCTAGTTGCAGCTAAGAGTGCCAAGATCTTACTGAAACTCCAAAAAGTTTTTCTCTTTGGAAAATTTACCCTTACCCCAGTGAGTGAGTTGCTGACTTAATTTAGTTTGTCTGTGAAGATCCTACTCTAATGTGAATTCTTTTAGGAAAGACAGTCCAGTGTGGCCCCACTGATCCATGTGCTGTCATAAAGTACCTTTATGCAGAGCAGCATGGTAATCACAAGTGAATCTTGTGACCTATGGATACCTCAGGGGAGATTCAGCCCTTTACCTTTTCTTACTTTGTGTTAATGATGTTTCTATGGGGTGCAGTAAAGCCTGTAACTGAAGGTTGGGTTTGTAAAAAATACTGCTTAACTGTAAAACAGCAAAGATTCCTGTAAAATGTTTTGGAGTTAGTTTGCCAGAGAGACCAAAATGCTTTTAGATTTCATGTGAGAGAATTTTGTTTTCTTACTGAAAAGTAAAACCAAAAGAGTGGTTCCCAGTTGAACAAAATTAATATTATTTTTTAAACTGGAATTTCAAAAAACAAAAAAGAGACAACTGCATACCTGGTCGTTGGTCTAGTAGCCATCTGGATGCAATACATGTTGGGATGTGCAAGATAAGAGTTTGGTTATTGTTTCCAAGTATTAGTATTTAATTATTATCTGCATTATTAGTGTTTATTACTTTAGGTGATGCTTGTCCTGCTTCTAATAACATGAGCTTCAAACTAAGATGAAAGGAGCATATGAAGAATAATGAGAAAGCCATGAAATATGAAGAAACATTTTTTTCCTGTAGAAAAAGGTCATACAAATAGCAGTAATAATTATAACTCCGTATGGACCATGTGTAGATTTTTTTGACCAAAATCTTCTATTTACCAGTAGAAGCAGATTAATCCAGGAGTCTGACTTGGATTGAATCACCCGAAAAGATGAGAAGGAATACAGTTTTCTAAACTATGGAATTTTTGGAGTCTCTTCTGAAATTTACAGATGTGATAGTAATGCTTTAAGACTTGTAAATGAAAACTTAACTGGTAACTAGACAGAAGTCTGGGTACTGGCAGGGTTTGAAACCATGAAAGATTGTTTGCTTTTTTGGGGGGAGGGATCCAGAATCTACAAATATTTCTTTCTATATCATGTGTGATTGGACATAAAAATATACCTACAAAATATCTGCTTCACACCACATTTGTCTAAAGATGTGTCAGGAATGAGGACAAAGTATGGTAGAACAATATAATGTTAAGAGCAAAATGTTAATATTTGCTATGTCATCCATTTTAAATGAATCTTACAGTAGTGCATAAAAAACTTGGATTAAGGGAAATGGCTTTTCTGCTTAAGAAAAAAAAAATGTTGTGTCCTTCTTCCTGTCATGAAATTCTACAGGAAGATTTTCTCAAGACAGTTTCTCTAAAGAGGGTTGAAGAGGATGTTTCAAGGGCACTTAACTAATCCATAGGCAATTGAAAAAATTAAGTAAACCTGAAAGGAAGCTGGACTTCGTGCTGCTGATATGTTAAGGTTACTTAAAATTCATACACATAAGCATGCATACATACCCCACTACTTAGATACATCGTATTTCTTCTAATTGCCTTCTGGCCCTTCTTCAGCCTCTCTTTGTGTTCATGAATGGATTTATCTGAGCTTTGATAAGTCTTATGTAACTCTTAGATGGCTTTCATGGAAAACACAGAAGATCACTTATACATTGTGATGTTATTTTAGTGTTACCAGTATCCAGCACATTAAAGAAGCAAGTGACACAACTGTTGTGGTCCTCAGAATTAGGGAATTCTGCTGTAAAGTTAAGCAGAGGCGGTGACGTGTTAATGATTTTTATTTGGGCTGTGGAAAGTGGAATGTATTGCACATCTCCTCATTTTTAATAGCCAGATTTATTTATTTTTTTAATCATGTAAAAGAAGAACTAATGGCATGGAAGGGTTCAGGTCTGTCAATCTGACAAATGCTTCTCTTACAGCTGTTCTTGCTAGTAGCATAGTTGGTGTTGCTGTTAGATATTGACAATCCTCTTCACTAACCCCTTTTTATTTTATTTAGTGGCATCTGTCATAACCTCCAGACTGTGAAGTTCCTAGGGAAAGTAATTTGCTGCAGCTGACACAGAGTGACATAAAGTAGTGGACTATTAGAACACGTACAGTGTTCTTTGCACATAGTGAAGCCCTCCTTAATCTGAAAATTCTACAAAATTTAAATACTTGCATGTGAAACCTAAGTAAATGGTATGTTTCAGTTGTTCTGTGTTTACCTAAGCATTTTATATCTCTTTGGGCAAAGTTTCTCTTTTTATATCTCTTTTTTTTATTTCTCTTTTTATATCTCTTTGGGCAAAACAAATATGGGAATAGTTTGCAATAGAGAAAACATTTTTGAAGTTCTATTTTAAGAGAAGTGCTGGAAGTGGGAGTTTTCTTCCTGTGGCCTTACTACTTTTTGCTGCATGATCCTGTAGTGACATCAGATGTCTGGTACCAACTTGCTATGTCAGAAATTCAGTATAACTTCTGGATCACAGCATTCCATAGGATGAGGAGAAATGAAATACATGCAGCAAGAACATGTGTTTGAAGCTCAGAAAAAAAATTCCAGGGAG